ATTGTCTCAATTTGACATGGTATATAGGCAACGCAGGAGTAGGTCATGGTCATTGTTACTTGATAACACCTGAAATTTTTTCAATCATGAATACCCAAGCAGCAGAAATACTGATGCAGCATGGCTTCAGGACGCGCTCAGGTATGTGGGCCTGCTGATACCCTCGGAGCGATGGCGGAGATAACGCATCCTGAGGAATCAGCAGAGTGGCCATTCACGAGTTGGAAAGCACCGGTCGTTGTGCTGGCTTTGCAAGATCCGTCTTGACTTGTCAATAAGATCCAGCCTTGCCACACCGTCGAGCCAAAGGTGTTCCTTCCTCGTGAAATGAGATCATGATTAACTCTGATAGGACATTGAGCAACATTGTAAAGCAGTGTGCTACCGTGTTTGAGACTCCAGAAGGTTTTTGTACTCTTCATGCGGATATTGGGCCTGAGTAGCACCGCCTCCATCACAGTTCACAGAGATTGGTAAGTTTTGCTGATCGCTAACGCCAGGCTGCTTATTAGTAGATATTGTCTCTGCTATAGCTTATTGCCACTCTCAGAAGTATTCACAGTCTGATTAAGCGCCGGCAAATATCCTTTTCTTACCGCACTGATGGAAAGAGCAAAGCCTAAGCAGACTTTTGGACATTTGTGCAAAGCCAGATGCGAAGAGGAGGGGCAATGCTATCCTGAGCAAGAACCTTCTGTGGAACTCCCGATCATGCTTCCCAACTTCTCTTCCTGACTGAACACATACAACCCTCTGTGCCGCGCCGATATGTGTCGAGTCTTGCGGTTGCATTCTTCTACCAGATGTCGGTGTCGAAAACCTGCATTTGATTAGCGAGCAATTGGCGCCATGGTCGAGGCGCTTCAGCGATCGGGAAAGATCACTTCCTTCTTCATTTTCAGCTGCAGACTGTGTGCCATCTTCTCCCACTCGCCTTATTTGCTAACCAAAGATCTGTATTGCGATGTGCAGCAGCTGCCAGCACCACCAGTGGCCTGGAAATGTGTATCATAGCCAGCGGTGGCGAGCTTGGAAACCCTGACTCTGTTCTCGGCTGAACAGCTCCCTATGATGCTGCCCACCCCCGTTGGGGTGGGGGTGGGGGGGGTACACCCCCCCAAGAACCTTTCTCCCCCCCCTATATCCCATCCCCCCCCCCACCGCTTTTTTTGTGACGGTGTGGGTGGGTGGGGGGGGGTCTGGTGGCTTATAGCAAATTAATAGCCTTAGCTGAAGCGGAGATCAACCCCCCCCGACCGGGCCCCCGTTCTAACACCCCGCCCCCACCCTTTCCCCTAAACTATATTCGAACTGTTTTTCGCGCCCCTGGTATGCCCATACCCCCTTCGCGACCTCGCCATGTCACTCGAACCTGTTGTGTGGTGTTTCCTGTTGTGTGTGTGGCACAGGTTCCTGTTTAGGGACTTCCAAAATCGGGGAAAACGATAGGCTTTCAGAGCCCATTTGCGACGAAACCGCACCCCCGGCTTTCGTATTACTGTTAGGCCCCTGGGCTTCTAACATACCGGGGGGGGGCCCCTCCCCCCGCCCCCCCCCCCACTCCCCCCGCCACCTATCCTCACAACTACAACATCTTTCACACCAACACCTCTCGCCCCCCCGCCTCACCCCGCTCTCGCTCTTCGCCGCACCACCCTCTCTTCCAACCACATCCTCATCACAAATCACTCCAGTTCCTGACCGCCACGCCACTCCTCTCACACTCACTCCTCGCCACCTATACCTCAATCTCACCCCTCTCACCTCACTCAACCGCATCACCCTCTCTACCCATCCCTCCCCCCCCCTCACCTCACTCATATCAAGGCCTCTCATCACACTCCACCCACTACCGCCGCTGCTTACTGTTACACGCCCTCCCACTACTACTGCCAACCTGCTCTGCATCCACGAACACATTACCCCCGCCAATGCTCTCGCACCACCCCCCCGCTCCCCACTCGCTAAGAAGTCATAATAATCGCTGTGCCCCCCCTCACACTCCCGCCCTCACCATTGTCTAATCCGACAGACGGTTACTGCACTCGCCCCTCGCCCTCACCTATTTTCCCCGGCCCTCACCACTCTCCTCGCCAAATCAAATTCCTCAGTCCCATACCTGCACCCAGTACACACGCCCTCTCGACCCTCCCTCACTTCGCTCTCGCCTCCCTCATCTTCACGGCACCAGACCCACTGTATATTTTTCCTGTTCATAGTTGTTTATTTGTTTCTTTCTTGTAGTAGTGTCGCTAGCGTGATCTAACTCGTATGTGTCAGCGGCGAGGTGTCCCCCGACTTTAGTGCACTACTTGAAACTTATGCAAGATAAGAGTGTTGATTTGCTTATGTGTGTACCCCAGTCTCCATTCTGGCACTTCAACCTCGCGTCACTCCGGAATTCCTCAGACTGGGATAAAAGTTTTCCACCGCGGGTGTGGCTCCGTGGGACTACGCAAATAGCGGTTATTGATATGCCCAGCGCACTGTATTTCGAGTGGCCAGATAAATATGTGTGCCTGGGATGGGTTCAGTGTAGAGCAATTGTACTGGGTGTGATGTGCATCCGGTAACTTTGTTTTGCGCATTCGTGATTTTACACCATCTGACAGACATGTATATAGTTATACAAACGCGTAGTGTTTTTAACACTGTGTATGTGGTTTATTGAGCATTATTGAACTTAAAATAGTGGAAAGAACAGCTATACATGGTTCGGTAGTCCCTGACTTTATATTTTCTCCTCCAGCGAGATTTGGTGTGCAGGGATTGTGAGATTATAAGGTGTTGTGTGGCTGCTCCTCGCGCAGCGATAAGGTCTGCATTGCAGACAGTTTATTTGTTACGGTGACATGCAATACGTAACGCAGAACGGTAAGTATATTGTTATTATTTTTATTAAGGGGGAGTTTGTGTGTGTTCCTAAGTTGATATATGGTGCGAGATTGTGATATTAGAGTTGTTTTGGTGGTAGATTGAAATACTATTGTAGTGGGTGTGTTCTTTGAGAGCATGGGCGGAGATGCCTTGACATGAATGAACTCTGACACAATAAATTGTGCTGGACTCGTCAGGTGTGGATGTAAACGGCATTACAGATGTTCTTACTCCGAGTGGGGGTGGTGGAATGACGATGTGTGGTGTGTCGGTGGCACCCATTTTTTCGTTCCACAAAATCGCCGCCTTCAGTATTTTTATATATCTACAAATGAATTAATTATTTTCCCCCCATTTTAGTGTCTGACTTTTAGTTCATAATGTGTTTTTATAATGGAGTATGCGGTTCTTGGAAATACTGTCTGTGATTATTCACTGACAATGTGGTAGGTAGTCTCATAGAACAAATGAAAATAATATATTCATATTTATTTGAACAATAAATTTAGAAAGGGGGGTGGGTTACCGTCTGCCATGACTCTCCGCCACATATAACCCACCCTTAGCCACTACTTTTCGCACTCTTTTATACGAGTATTATTGTGCTTATTTATGCTTGCGCCAAGGGGCGGGCTTCGGCGGAGGGGACCCCGCAGTTTATTTTGTTGTTCGGTGGTATATGTCGTTTCGCGGTTTTGCTGGTGTGCCCGATTCGAAAAGCGCTATGCGCAGTTGCTAGCGTCTAGTACCTACTACGCCGTTAGCATTGACTGCGTGGCGGCAGCCAGCCGGCAGTCAATGATATGCGGGCGTATATTGTCACTCGATCTCTATAATATAATCTGGATAGAGCATGCCCGTATCCGCGCTTAACATGACAGTGACGGCCAGAGCCCGCCATCTTATCCACACCACTCTGCTAAAGTTCTGAATCTAAGAATCGGTCCTCGGTTGTTGCCCCACAACATTATCAAATGAAAAATTAAGAAAACGCGATTATTCTATTATTTCAATTTAGCATGCAAAATAACTTTGATCCCTACTTAAGAGTTGGTATAAATATGCGATAATGTATATAAGATACATGGTAATGCGAGCTAGAGCTAATCGGTAATGAGCAAACTACATGAGAAATAATTTGTTTGACGGCGTGATTCGTCGTCACGTGCTAGTCACGTGCTAGCTAGTCGGAGCCTATTCTACAATCATAGATATTTTCTTATGGATTACCATTCGCTATGGAAAACAAAGCCTTGATGATCGAAACATGATGAAATAGATGAAAACATGAATGAAGCATTATGCTGTACCCTTATATATTCATTTATATAGGCATATAGGCACAATATAGCACTACTAGTTATCAAGCACTTTAGCAGTGGTGTGGTGGGGCATACATTATCAATTACTAAATTACCCTATATTTAATATCTAATTTATATGCAATTATTGCTTATAGCCATACCAGGCCTGGACCGTTCCGAGGCTTGTGAACTAACGATCAATATACTAAGTCCTATAGTGAGCTAGTACTTACTGACCTGCTTTTAGTTTTAATACTACTTACTCACTTACTAGGCTATTTCTACTATGATAATATATGAATCGATAGATGAAAGATTAGATGATAGATTCAAAACCGTTTTATTCTGGGACAGAGATTATTTTCGGCTCTAGAGGTAAATATTAGCCACATGTCTGGTTTCAAGCGAGTAGAGTAACATTCTATCCAATAAAGCCCAATGTCATTATACTATCAATTATAGAAGTATATATATTAATCAATATAAGTAGATTAGGATTATGGTTGGGTTACGTTTAGGGTCTAGGAATTATTTATTTGGGTGTGAGAATTATGGGTTAGGTTAGGTACGCACATTTGGTTTTATTTGTAAGGCGTTGGATCCTTATCACGTGTCGGTTCTCCTGGCCTCCGTATGGTACGCAAGTGATAGCTACCCAGAGTCCGATTCCATTCTCGGTCCCTTACTATACCGCTGGCAGTCCGGGTGGTTGCCTTGCTGGCGCTTGCCGGTTAATCCTAGGTTGGTAGGCGTGCTGAGTGCTCGAATCCTTGTCCGGCGTTTTGTGAGAAAGCCGCCGCAGTGGTTCATGCAGCTCAATCAACCGAGTNTTTCAGCCAATTCCATGAAGATGTACAAAACCTTCTGGATCTCAAACACGGAGCACACTCTTACAATGTTCTCATGTCTAAGAGTTCTCATGATCTCCATTTCACGAGGAAGGAACACCTTGGCCGACTTGGCACTGATCTTTGACAAGTCAACGATCTTGCAAGCCAGCACACGGTGCTTTCCCTCTGAAATCCACTCTGCCTTCCTCACGGATGCGTATGCTCCCTCTCCTAGGGTAGCACCCATCCTGAAGCCATGCTGCATCAGTATTTCTGCTGCTTGGGTATTCATGATTGAAAAAATTTCAGGTGTTATCAAGTAACAATGACTGTGACCTACTGCTGCGTTGCCTATATACCATGTCAAATTGAGACAATGGCAGACAGGCAGACGGCAGACAGTCTCACCTAATGTCTCATCGACTACGCTGTCTTCTATCCTTTTCACCGTGTATAAACCATGGAAGTTAATTAAACAAAGGTTGCAGATTAACAATAGCTCCTAAATTACGATGTAGACATAATAGAATAGTAGAGAAATGCTGTAGACAAGTAGGTGCCATAGCGGCGCGTTCGTCAAGNAACAGTGATGTCATAAGATTCATAAGGTCATACACGTATAAAGAGTGATGTCATAGGATGCATAACGTCGTACATGTATAAAGAGTGATGTCATACTATTTATCAGGTCATATATGAATAAAGAATGATGTCATAAGATTCATAACAACGTACACAAATAAAGAGTGATGTCATAGCATTCATAAGGTCATACATGAACAAAGAGTGATGTCATAAGATTCATAAGGTCACACATGAATAAAGAGTGATGTCATAGCATTCATAAGGTCATACATGAACAAAGAATGATGTCATAGGATTCATAAGGTCACACATGAACAAAGAGTGATGTCATCGGATTCATAAGGTCATACATGAATAAAGAGTGATGTTATAAGATTCATAAGGTCGTACATTTACATAGAGNCACCCCTCACACACCTACCCACCCCTCACACCTCCCTCGCCTCCCCCGTACGCTACCTTTCGAGAAGAATACGCTGACGAGACAGCAGAAGGAGACGGTGGCGACGGCGTAGACGAGCAGGAACGCGAGCACGACCGACGGGTCGCTGCGGCCGACGACGCTGCCGTGCTCGCCGACGGGAACGACGAAGAGCGTCGTCATGACGACGGCGCTGGCGCAGAGCAGCAGAGAGCTGACGATGAACCAGGCGAGCCAGTGAAGCCAGCTGTCGAGGCCCATGATCTTCATGCTCTCCTGCGAAGGAGGGTGATCGAGCACGTTCGTGAGATGCCGTACGCATGTGCACACAAGACCCGCCAGTGTTATTCTCACTGAGATACAATATTATTGTTTGTGTTATCGTGCCAATAATATCCGTGATCATGTTTTACTGGAAATCTAATTTTAGATATATATATATATATATATACTCATCCTATCATACTCATACTCATCCTATCATACTCATACTCATCCTATCATATATAACCCCACTTAAACGAAGCCCTCATTTAAAAATCTGCCTAGACGCAAATCGCAGCCGCCAAATCGTATCGGCGACAGAGTCGATCGGCGGTACCTTCAGTTTCCTCTCCTTCTCGTGCACTATCGCTCTCGTTATGCTCAGCACGGAGAAGACGAAGCTGAGCATCAGTATCACAGGAAGCTGCATCTGTATGATGAGCACAAACTTGTCGTCGTTGTACGGTGGGTACGGGTACCTGCAAACAAAACAATCGACGCGCGACTTCAATCCCAACAACAAACCGATCTGCTAAACCACGCTTGCCACGGTCGACCCTATCTGCCGGGCGTGACAGACGTGTGGCGCTAACCAATCGGTGTTGCGGTACGACATTCTAAAAATAATGCTTAATAGTGAAGTGCTCAACATTTTCACATGCAAACGTACAAACTGGTCTAGCTTGATCGACCTAGTAACAGTAATCACAGAGTGGGAATGCGTGATCATTTTGCATAGATAGATAGATCCATCCCCAGTTAACTCCGGGATCTTAAGCTCGACGCACACGTGAGTAATTTTACTCAAGTAAAATGATGCATGCGTCAAAATACTCACGTGTGCGGTGGATTTTCGTTGAGTATTTTGACGCATGCATCATTTTACTTGAGGAAAATTACTCACGTGTGCGCCGAGCTTTAGCCTCTAGATAACTCTTCATTTCGTATCGGTATCGATAGTATATATCGTATATGAATTATCGGTAGAAATACGTTTGGTACCGTACATCACTCGTGTAGACACTCCAATGTGTAGCCAATTGATGATTGTACCTGCCTAGTACAGTACTGGTACTGGTAGTAATTATATAATATAATATAATATAATAATAGCCTTACCTCTTCATCAGCACGTCCACGCCATCTGGTGGTTTTCCTGAGAGATTTTCGATAATGGCCAAGTTTACGGCATGCTGCAGTGGCAGGAAGCCCTCCCTCATGTAGCCTGAATTCACCATACATGTAAAAATTTGATAGCAAGCATACAAGGAACAATCAATCTGCCTGCCTGAACCATAGATAGCCATGTATCACACCGAGGTTACTCCACCTCAGTCATATGCATGGTTGATCACGGCACTACAAGATTCATGTGACGAACTTCACGAGGCTTGGGAAAAAAACTGCATTCTATATTATTGAAATCAATGAAAAGGATTGACAATACTACTGAGATGTTTAAAATTCTACACTTAAGCTTCTACAGTGCCAAAAAATCAACTCTAGTGCAGAGCTAGGAGGAGGAGCCATTTGGTGTCGTGGGGGGGAGGCAGATGAGGATACGCACCGGGATTGCCACCCCAGGTGTAGGACGGCTCGCGTGGTCCCAGACTCGCCATCGTTGGCAGGTTCCATTGAGTGAGCCACTGCGAATCTCCGCCGAGAGGGTTCTCCTGGGCCGACAGCGGCACGTTGCGGGGAGACGACTTTAGTCGGATCTGCGAGGCGATTGTAAATGGGAAAACATCATCGGTTAGCATGGCTTCATGCTTTCCTTTCTCTACTGTGCGTGCTCTCTCTAATTCATAAGGTCATACATGAATAAAGAGTGATGTCATAAGATTCATAAGGTCATACATGTACATAGAGTGATCTCATAGGATTCATAAGGTCATACACGAATAAAGAGTGATGTCATAGCATTTGTGAGGTCACACCTGCATTTAGAGTGATGTCATAGGTTTTGTGAGGTAATGTATGCATCAATAAAGAGTGATGTCATAGCATTCATGAGATCACACCTATATAAGAATGATGTCATAGGATTCAAAAGGTCATATATGTATAAAGAGTGATGTCACAGCATTTGTGAGGTCACACATGCATAAAGAGTGATGTCACAGCATTTGTGAGGTCACACATGCATAAAGAGTGATGTCATAAGATTCGTGAGGTCACACATGCATAAAGAGTGATGTCATAGGATTCGTGAGGTCGTGCACACATAAACAGTGATGTCATACGATTTGTGCGGTCACACACCTACAATGATTTATGTTGTAAACCTAATGAGGCTAAATTCACAAGGAAGTGATAGCATACGAATGGAAGTGTCACACTCAAATACCCAGATGGACAGTTTAATTAAATTCGGGTGTGGCCGCCCGCAATACTACCTTGTCCCTCCAGCATTCCGATGACCTGGGCACCAAGCGACATGCCCGTGTTGAGCAGCAGACAGCTGGCAAGCTTCTCCGTGAGAGAGAGGGTCGCGTAGCGTGGCTGCAGGAAGAAGAAAGGCACGAAGAGAAGAAACCAGATTGGTCCGCACGACGCTGCGGCCGTGTTCGCTGTAACGAAAACACACACATTAGTCCAATTTAATTCGAAGTATTTATTTATCGCAAGTTGTAATACAAAGTAACAACCTCCCTACAGCTCCCTACTAGGCCTCCATTGCCTTTTCCTTAACCCTACAATAACCATAACCCACCCCTCACATTCCACACCTTGCCCTAACCGTAACTAACCCTAACCCTCACATTCCACACCTTGCCCTAACAGTAACTCTAACCCCAACCCTCACATTCCACACCTTGTCTTTACCCTAACCCTGACCCTAACCCTCACCCTAACTCTTACCCTAACCCTAACCCTAGCCCTTATCCTATGTCTAACTACAACACTGTAACTATGTATCACACTTTCCACACGTTGTCCTAACCCTAACATTCACCTCCCGACCCTCCCGCACCTGCCCCACCCTCACACACCTACCCACCCCTCACGCCACCCCCACCCCTCCCACCTACCCCACCCCTCACACACCTACCCACCCCTCACG